GGAGAGTGTGAGGAGGCGGACGCGCAGGACGCAGAGCCGAGAAACTCTCCGAGCCCCGGGGAGACTAGCCGGCAGGACAGAGCAAGAAGCAAAACAAAACACAGGAACCAGACAGACGTAGAAGAAAAGCGGCCATGGGTCCAGAAGGCGTTAGAAACAGCCTCTCATCCGCCCCCTCCGCGGGGAGTATTTGGGATTGAGCCTGACCCCAAAGTCAGGACCCACCTACTCAAGGGGCGCCAGATTCAGACAAAGATACCTCCTGCCCCCTGTGTCCCCAGTCGCTGGACACCCTTCCCTAGTCCTCTGCCACAGGGGAGACGTCTAGGCCACCTCTTGTCTCCAAAGGACTCGAAGCTGAGGACCTCCACATCAAGTTCAAGCTCCCACCCCCTAAGCAGCTCCAGTCAGCCCATCATCCATCGCTCTGCTTTGGAACTGGACCTGGACCGTCATTCCCACTCCCTGACTCTGCTTATAAAGAAAGTCCTCCCTCCTCCTATATAACTCAAGTCACAGGTTTCCCAGTGGAGATGGAAGTTCATTCAGTCTGTGGTCTAATCTCATTCCCTTCTTTTCCAGGGTCTGGATCTGATACTGGTTAGAAACTAATGGGCCCTGGGGGTGATTTGAGTTGGGTCACCCTGGAGGAGAAGATAGAGGGAAGGGACGTCTTTTCAGAAACTGAATCTACTCCCATTCTCAGATTCACCAGTGTTCTCTAGTATTGAGTACTTCCTGGAACTCCCTCCTGCCCTCCCTCACCCTCCCCACTGAATTTTCCATGATGAAAACTGGTGTGTGTTGGGGGTGTGGATTCTGAGAAGCCAGTGCCCAGGGCTCAATGTCCAGTGCCTGCTCAAGGCAGCCAGTACCACCAGCTGCAAAGCCCTCTGTCCCTCCCTGTCTCAGCTCCCAACTGGGTCGTCTCTGCTCATCTTGCCTTTGGCAAAGGCTGGGAAGTCTGGTTCTGATTCCAATCTGGCGGCTGGGGGGAGAGTCACGGTGACAATTCGGTCCCTCAGAGACTGGCATTTGGAAGGGGTGGGTGTGGCTGGGACTGGGGAGCCTAGAGCTTACTGCTCTTGGCTGAGTTGGTGTCCAGTAGGTCGTCTCAATCTCAGAGGTTAGAGCAGTGGGAACTGCTGGGA